TGGAGTCGGACAGTGTTGTTTGATAGATTTGTTTAGCGAAAAAAAAACACGCAACTGGAAACGCAACGTGGAAGCGCCATGGAGAAGTTCATGATCGACTTGGACAAGGTCCTCAATGACTTCGAATTCAACGAAGGTACGAATCCTCGAGGGAAAAGGCCTACTTGAATGAGTTTCGGACGGATTCTTTGTACACTTGGAAGTTTTAAGCGCAAACTCGAACAAAAAAGTTTTCTATATTTTTTATTTATACTTAAATAAATTTTAAGAATTCTTATATTTGAATATTTTGAAATTGTACTTTTTGTTCGAGTATAAACTTCAACAAAAAGTACGATTTGCTACGCTTGAATGAGAAAGTATACTTGAATAAATTTCAGGAATTTTTTCTATGTTCAAAGAACCTTGTATTTAAACTAGAAATATACTTTCTTTTTACATCATCTACTTTTTCTTTAAATAATTGAATGAGCAAGTATAAATAAAAAGTAGGAACTTGAACAAGCTTTAAGAATCCCTTTAGAACCTTCCATAGATATATTTCTTTTAATTTGTAGAGCATAGAACTTTATAGGAAGTTTCTTTTCATATAAAATTACCTTTCGAATAGATGTACGTGTGTTGCGCTGAAAAAAATATGTTGTATACAAGTTGTTTCAAATAAAAGTCTAGTAAAATTTTATTCAATTATTTGCAGATTGCGCGGAGCAAATAGCGGCAGTCGCAACTTCTGCGATCGATGCGTCAGTTGTGGAAAAGCGTGCTAACGAATCCGTGCCTCCGAAAGTGTACAGCTTTAATCCCGAGAAAGGCGACGTGGCACCGACCGTCGAAAAATACAGGGACACTCGGCCGATGGAGGTCGACTCCAAGTATACGCTAGTGGAGAAGAATATAGTATTTATATCGGACAACAAAGATTCCGTGAACAATTTCTATACGCACGACCGTGTCAACGACATCACGACCGGGCAGAAATCATGTGTTCATCCTTATGACTCTGATCAAGTGTCTTCGGCGGCGTACGGTGATGTATCTCAAAACTCGATGCAGAAACAGCAGGGTGGTGCGAGCAGCGATTCGAAAGACGGCGATAGATACGACAAGAAATTGAATCAGCCGAACTTCAAGCCCAGCATCAGCAATGTGTTTAATAGTTTGAACGAATATATTAATGCTCCCACTAGAAGCTTGAGTTACGTCGAGCCTATGCTGGATACGGTAGACGATTTGTCTAAGAGGTCCATGGACGATTTAGCGGAGAAGGATTTTAGGTCGAGCAGAGACGTGACGATTAACGAACGTTCAATTCCGATGGAGAAAGGTGTAACGAATGCTGCGGTCGACAAGATTACTGTAGACCATAAAAATGTTTTACCGGTTGAATTGGGCACGTTTGTCAAAGTTGAACCTAGTAACAAACAGGATAATATAATGCAGAACGTTATGTTTTATCATTCTACTACGATGCGGTCTGAGGAAAACAACGGCGACGCTATAATTCCTGTATCAAACACGGCCATCTCGAGACGTAATGACATTACGATAAATACGGAACTGTCCAGTAATAAAGACGATGTTGATAAAAAGGTCATGGTTAGCGACGCGTTTAAAGAAAATTCTGATAGCATCATTAGCAAACAACGGCAGTTGGACTTGGATAATCGAGAGCCCGTCGGCGAGTACACATTTGTCGAGAATAAGGAAAGCATAGCGGAGAATACCGCAATGTTGGATAAGACTGTAACGAGCAGCGAAGATCATGATAAAAATGTAGAAGCAACCAAGAGCGACGTCTTCTCTAGCATACATATGACTCATACAATTGATACCGGCGATGATTTTTCTGAAGAAGAACTGAACCAGTATTTGTTAGAGTTAGAGAACGAAGAGAGATCCAAGACAGAAAATACATCGCTTTCGGATAATACCTGGTTGCCGCAGTCACATGACGAATTGAGAGGTGACGGAGAAGAAAAGAGTGCGAGTCGGCGAGATGACGAGGATGTTAACGAAGCGCCGATATTCGAGAAAATTACGATAGGCGAACTTCCGAAGATATCGCAGGAGGAGTTTCAGGAGAAGACGAAAAAATTTCCCGTAATTGATTATAACACGGATATATGTAACGAAAATATAACGGATGTAAAATGTAATAAATGTATTGAACACGCTTTATGTGAAAAAAGTAATCAATTAAAGGATATACAAAGTAATGAGCTAGACAAAACGATAAAAGATTCCCATGTGATCGAAACGATTGGTCAGGATGTAGCGACACAAGATAGCACCCTGCAAGCTATGTCTAGTAATGTCATCGCCGTTCAAGAGAAAGTCCCGTCAAAGTTCGAAAATATCGGAGAACAGTTTTGCAGTAACGGCACACAGAAATTACAACAAGATTCTAATAGAGATACTCTGTCGCAGGATGACAGTAGTGGTACTTTATTAAATTTATCAGAAAACAAAGAAGATCACGACGAGATAGTGTATTGCCAAGATATTGCTGAAAATAACAAAGATGTCGTACATGAGACCAGCGCACATGACGGCGAGGAGATCTCTAAAATGGAAACCGCATCTAAAATCAGCGATACTTGTATGGCCCCTCATACGAAGGAAAGTGATCAGGAAGCCGAAAAGCCGACCCGTCCCCAGACACTTGACATTGTATTGACGCATAATACAAGTGACTCACATTCACAGACAGGTATCTTTTTAATGTTTTATTTTTTAATTTTCTTTGTTGGTCTCCACTCACAAATTGCCACTATCGCATGTTCTTCAAAGCCATAAAAAGTCAGCTTCAATTTTCATATTGAGTAAACAAGTGATATTATAACAGAATCCTCGAGTTTTGTACCAGAAGAACCGGAACACTCAGAAATCAGTGGCACTGTTGACGAAGATCGCGGTGCTTCGTCGGATGTTTCTGATAATTCTTTAGTCGAATGTAACACAGTATTGGGAAAACAGCCTCCGTTTTGGATTCCGGATAGCGATGCACCTAGTTGCATGTTGTGCGATGTTAAATTTACTGTACTTAAAAGGCGTCATCATTGTCGTGCTTGCGGTAAGGTACGTATTTATTGAGTTTAAGGAAAAATT